AGAATAATGACAGCGCTTTAGGTTTTGATTTGTATAATTTGGTGAAAATTGTTCCTTTTTGTGTTTTAGGTGAAAGAAGTCGCACCAACAAGAGCTGATTCGTTTCAAATACTCGTATTGCAGACTGGAAAAACCGTTTCAAGTGCATCAATATTCGCCTATGGTAAATTCTCTGTAAAATATTAAAACATACACTTTATTATGTTGAGTATGCCAAAGCTGATTATTTGATGATTGCCCGTGGTAGTAGTGAGCAGGTTGTTGCATAATGTTTGAACTCTCTTAAGTTGCCTATGATTTTGAAGGTAAGTTCAACAAGTCGGCAGGTGAAGTGGATAGGGATGTTGGGCTGACAAGACTCACTCATTTTTGCTTTGCAAGGTAAGGTGATTAAATTAGATATATTGTGTGCTTAAATCACAAAGCTTCATTGGTTTATTCGAAGAATTTTTTAACTTATGGTAGGTTCCGCGCTCAAAACAGTTATAAACGGCATCATTTCTTTGGTACCGTGCTAAAAACTTTGCCTAAATCCGAAGGTTCCTCTTTTTTCCTTTTAATTTTATCTTTCCGTGAAATTGGGTCTTTATTCCTATATTTTATTATTTTTTCTGAATTTGATTGCATTTTGGATTTTATTAAACCATGTGATTTGGTTTTCATAGACATAATGTTTATGTTGTGTGCTAATATGTTTTGTAATGGATTATGATTCCTGTTAAGATTACAAATAACTCCGGAGACTTACCATATTCACTTTATATTATATTTGTTTCTTCTTGGAAAGTTTGAGATATTGAGAATCTTGATTCTCTTCAAATTAGTTCACTTCCATGGCATATTGTCAGAGCACATACGTTCTCACTAATTTTACGTAATTCAAAATATTTTTTTTAATGGTGGATGAAAAGATAGTAGCTTGAGATCTACCTACTTAAACTGGATGCTTAAGATTAAAGCTAACAATGAGGCAAGTTGTGAATTTTTTTGTGGAGAGTGCAGAGACCGATGAACCAGATACATTTTAGAAAAGATGAACGGTAAATAGATTTTGTGAGTTTAGACGATATCTTGGTAAAATATTTTAGACCCTTATCTGAAGTTTTCTAATTATAAGGGATAACAACATTTTCTATTTTGATTAATCTAAACTAAAACAAAACTCATTATGATATTTAGCACAATTATTTTTTTCGAATTCTTTGAGTTATTGTAGGTCTGCAACGAATAAACTATTAATAGTTGCGTGTGTATTTTTAATAAATTTTGTATCCTGCATATTGCATTTATAATAGCATTTCAGACATTTTGACCTTACTGTTTGCTTTGTACTTTGTAAAGGATAGCCGACTCAATAGCAACACCTTAACGGGTACTATTCCAATCTTGTTCGCCAATATCTTGACCCTTCAAGTCTTGTGAGTGCCCAGGGCAGCTAATCGTGGCTACTCCTCTACTTTGCAGTAAATTACTGTTCCCGAACCTTAAGAACCCAAGACTGCGAACTCACATCAACCAAAGGTGGATATCAGACCATTTTTTTTTTTGTCTAATAACTGTTTAGAAATGTGACTGCGCGTCATTGCCTGTTTTTTTAATCCAATTTATACTAATTTTAATGATTGCACAGCCAAAGAACTTGACGTTCCTGGAGTTCCTTATTATTATTTTTTTTTTCATTATGGATTTGCATCTTCTTGGACTGGGGGACGCTCATGATTAATGGTTTCATTTTTATGTTTGAAAGATTTAAACCATGAAATTAGATAATAAGATTTGAACCATGAAATGAGAAATTATCATTTATCGTTCTTTTGTTTTCTTTTTAGGGTTAAATGACACTCATGGTTGAATCGAGCGACATAATCGACAATGTAAAGGCTAAGATTCAGGACAAGGAAGGTAAATTATCTGGTTCTTTCATTTGTTTTTACCTAATTGTCAAATTTTCTGCTCATTTCATGTTTTTTTAGCAAATACAAAAGGAAAAAACGAGAAAAAATGATTTTTTATTCAGTGATTGTTAATAAGTTTTTGCAAACTTGTTCTGCATTTCTGTTTTAGGGATCCCGCCGGATCAACAACTCAAAGATGGCTGAACCCTTGCGGATTACAACATCAACAAAGGTTATTTGTGTTATTTTTTCACTAATGTAAGGTAGATTATCTGGTTCGTTATTGTAGAGTTTGTGATGGCAGTACTATGACTTCTCAAATTTAGTGAAACATTATAGACGATAGTGGACTGTAAGCAAAGATGCTAAGCATCAACATTGAAGGCTAACATAAAATTATTTAATGACTTGAGAAATTTTCGCTGAGGGAGTTTGGTTCTTGTTCAGGATTCTTCTATTTGTGTTTGAATGTAGTTGTTATCATGTGGCTTTTTTTTTAATGCATTGATTGTAGTTCTTGCAAAGTTTTGATGAGATTCCTATTACTAAATTTTGGAAACTTACATATGAGTTTTGTGGTGAGACCTCTGCTTTTAGATTGTACCTAAATTATTTGTTTGTGATCTGAGAGCCATTGTGCTGATTTGCATATGTACGTAGAATTCTTTAGCATTACTCTTCGCCTTCAATATTTTTGCTTGTTTTTGTGATCTGAGAGCCATGGGCATGGTATAGATTTTTTCTTGCACTTTTTTTGGATGATAAATAAAGAAAGCTTGTTTTTCACCCGTGATTTATTTTTGCGAGTTTGGGCCAGGATGAATGGAATATGTGTTCCATTTCTTTCTTTTAGTTTCATCTCTACTTTCTCGAGTGATTGGTGATATTAATTTGTTTTTGTTGTCGATTTCAGCTTGTGGAATAGCAAAAGCTGCTGGGAGCAACTCAGAGTGAAACTGCAGCTTGCCTGACAGATCATTTTGACGTGTCAAGGCATCCGCCCTCCGCAACAGGTTACTTTTGTCGCTCATGCTTATGTAAATTGGCTGGAACATCACCTTTTATTTGGCATTTGTTATTGAGGGGAATTTTTGTTTTTAGCCGTGATTTAGTAGAATCTGATGGCGTATCATTAAAGCTAATGTGGTTTTTTGTCGAGCAAATATGATCTTAAGCTCAACAGCGTGATTCTAGCGGAGGAAAAGCATTTACCTCTGTGAGTAATTGTATTTACTTTTATGAATTGTGTTTAGGCTAATTTGAAGGATATGTACATGGTCCAAGTTATTGTTTGTATTGGCTCGACGGTCTATTGAGTCGTAAGAATACAATATTTTGAGCATCGTTATTCTATACAACTGGTGGAGAATGTAGTGCAAATAGATAATGATAAACATAAATATTATTAACAGTGAAGTTTTTATGGGAAACATATTTTGCAAAAGGAAGAGATTATCCAAAGCTAAAAAAAGATAGCTAAAACTTGCAATATTATTGTGTTTTATGATGAAAATAATTTCAAAACTATTCTTTTCGTTATGTAAATATATTAATGATAGTTACAGACGAGGGTGATAAGGGTATCATGGGTGCCTGAACATTCCGACGACATTCGATAATCTGGACATGGATCCGGAGCTCGAAGGTGAAGTTTCGCCTGCGATAGGGAATTACACGACTCTTTGGGTCGCAGTTTTGTTTTAATAACTTGAAAATTAATGTCAACAATCTAGGGGAAAAATAACGATAAAGATAGTATGAACAAATGGGGTAAATTTTGAGACTAACTCCAACAGGCCAAATCACAACCCATCATAGTTGTCAGTTCCCAATAAAATGGTCGATTATATTTTATGAATTTGTCCTTAATGTTCGCAAATCTAACAATGGATATGATAGTTTTCGTGTTGTCTGAAGATATTTAAAATAGATTCATTACACTTTATGTGGGGATATTTTATTTTTTTCCAGTTTTTCTTGAACATTAGTATCTTCATTCTATGAGAAAAAAAAAAAAAAATCATTGCAACTTGGATTATTACAATTTTACTTTTATTATTGCAAGAGATATATGTCCATTGCAATTGCAATGGAGCTGGAAGAGTCATTGTTGACAATTCTCCTGGCACAGTGCTAATAATGGACTAGATCAAAATGACTCAATTAAATTCTAGTGCTTCTTCTATTAGTGAAGTCTTTATAAAAAATTTACCAAACGACGCAATGCACCTTGGGTCGCTACGGAAACAGCCTCCTTGTATAATTACAAGGGTAAGGTCTGCGTACAACTGACTCCCCAGACCCAACTTGTTGGGAATATACTGGGTATGTTGTTGTTATTGTTGTATTGCAAGATGTATTTTTACAAGTTTACAGTTTTATTTGATTATTACAATTTTTCTTTTAAATTTCCTCTTTTATTTCGCGGAAAAATTGGTTGAGTCTGACTGCATACGTTTAGACTTAAGAGTCAAATCTCGCTTTTGAAAAGTTGCAGAGGCAGGTATTTTGGATTTGTTAGGACTGCAAGTTAATGAGGAAATGTGGTGTATATTATGATCTCTAGCAGGACACGAAATCTGTAATTAAGTTTATCACGTTTAGATAGACAATCATCTATTTGGAAGGGATGAAGTTAAAGTATTATACGCTTCAATATTTAGTCAATCACCTTTGGGGTTTTGAATGTAAATGGAGTTACTGTACAATATTGGTCTAAATAAACTCTTATACAATTAGCAGAGGTTGGGAAGTTGATGACATTAGTTGGTAGATGGAAAGGAGCAATTAGTTTTAAATTTCTTCGATTAATACATCTGATTAATTGTGGATACCGTTAAAATATAGATTGCACAGGAATTGGAGGAAGATTTCGACGGCAAAGGTGAAGCGGTGAGACGTGAGGTTCTAGGAGATGGAAAGGGAGATGAAGGCGGCGAAGTGTATGGAGTGAGTGTCCTGACTGGTGAGCACGCGGTACTTCAGGCCGCACATGTTGTCTTGCTTGATGGAATAGAGGCCGGCTCACCCGGACAAGCAATCGCAGTGCTTTTCGGTGCTGGGAAACGCTAAAGTAGTTCGACAATGATTAATCCGTCCATACCCAAGGTGAAATGGCATAACTGAAGCTTTTTAATTTCCAGTAAAAATGGATCTTTTGCATCATTTTTTTCCCTTATCCATAGTTACCGAAAGTAAGATCTTTTGCATTGGGCTCTTTTGCTTCTAAAATTATTTTCTTTGAAAGGGATCTAATATGATGTTAGGAGATTATTAGTCATTTTAATGAGTTACTATTCTTGAGGTGGTGAGATCTTAATATTTTTTGCCTGTGTACTTTTTAGATAACTGATCCAACCTAGCGGAAGCATGTGAAGTATCATATAACAGCGCTCAAGATTACGGAAATCGATTTTTCAGCCATTTTGTTTTTAGAAATTTTTTACGCATATATTGCTTTTCATTTTTGGACTGATGAAAGGAGAG